ACATTGACCATCAGCACCTTCCCACCATTCCTCACACTGACCATTGACACCTTTCCACCATTCCTCATACTGACCATCAGCACCTTCCCACCAGTGGAGGCAACACAGCAAAGGCTCGCTAAATGCTCCACTGGGATCACTCATCTGTGATAAGAGGCCAAATAAATTCTGTTTATATTTTCTGGAGTTTAGGTGGAAGTGAAATGATCAGATTGAAACACACAATTCAGATTCAGAAGGAACCTGGCATGGTAGACAATGAAGGTTATTTTTGTTGGCTGGGGAATCTGAACTTGAAGGAAAGAGTTTCCAGTTAAGGATGTTAAGACTTGGGACTGCGCTGAGGAGAAGGAGAAACACTCCCAGCATTTCAAATATTTGTAACAGTCAGAAAAGGTAATAGAAAGTCAGTCACTCTCACGGATGAGAGATGGAGGAGAAAGTATGGGAAGATCACAAGCGAATGTTGTGTCTACTGGCTCAGAAATAGGATGGATCATAAACTAAAGGAACAGCTGCATTTTGAATATTGAAAACTGAGGTCCTGATCGAATTTAAGAGGTAATTTGTTTTGAGCAAGATTTTGCCATCTCGATAGGATGGTAAAACCATGTTGGGTAGAGGAAAAAAGAGGGAGGCAGGAGGCAATTCCGGGTTTCTCAGCCCTATCCCATTACATGATATTATTAAGGGTGTGGGATAAGAGGGTCATGAATGCATACACACAGCAATTCATTAATTTCAGACCTTCTACAATTCTGACTGAGTCGGGCAGCTTCTGAATGAGAAGCAGCTCCCAACTGCTCACTGGGTCCGATTAGTGATCGGGGCAAAGCTTGTTATAGAGTCATAGAGTCAAACCGCATGGAAGCAGACCCTTCGGTCCAACCAGTCCATGCCAACCATAATCTCAAACTAAACTAGTCCCACCTGCCTGTGCTTGACCCATATCCTTCCAAACATTTCTTATTCGTGTACTTATCTAAATTCCTTTCAAATGCTGTAACTGTAACCACATCCACTACTTTCTTTGGCTGTTCATTCCACACATGAACCACCCTCTGTGTAAAAAAACTGCCCCTCATGTCTTTTTTAAATCTTTCTCCTCTCACCTTAATAATGTACACCCTAGTCTTGAAATTCCCCACCCTAGGGAAAAGACACCTGTCATTCACCTTATCTATATCCCTCAACCTCCTACACTGTAGTAAAAAATGTCCCAGCCTATCCCTCTTCTCGTAATAATTCAAACCCTCCATTCTCAGCAACAGCCTACTAAATCTCTTCTGAACCATCTCCAACTTAATAATATCCTTCCTACGACAGGGCAACCAGAACTTGACACAGCACACCAGAAGAGGCCTCACCAACGTCCTGTACAACCTCAACGTAACATCCCAACTCCTATACGTGAAAGGTCTGAGCAATGAAGACATGCTAAATGCCTTCTTAGCCAACCCGTCTATATGTGATACACACTTCAAAAAATTATGTACTGGAGTTCTGGAGTCAGGAGAAACTGGCAAGTTTAAAAGGTGTTGCTAACTTCAGAAGTTACAATGCAATGTTTTACGTTAAATATGTTTTTCAAACAGGAATTGATGCTTTGTACAGAAAAGGTGACGATTAAATGGACCAAGATTTTGAAATCAGAATAGTGTTCACCTGCATTAGACTCCTGTTTGACTAGATAGAGTACTGTTCTATATTAAATAGTCTTGAAATTTCAATTTTACTATCTCAATTGCACCCTGTGCTTTGATTTTGTCACTGACAGGTAGGTCACCTGTTCAGCCTTTGAAGCAACTGAACAAGTGGCCAGTTACCTGACTGCTTCATGAACTTTCATGCAGTCAGCTCTGAAGGCTTTAGTGACACTGTTGTGAAATGGAATCTAATTATGAATACTTGGTTGAGCTGCAAAACTCACTAATGCATTTTTAAAATATCAATTCTCTGGATGTGGGTATCATTGGCTAGGCCAGCATTTATTGTCCAACCATAACTGCCCTTAAGAAGCAGGTGGTAAGATGCTTTCTTGAACTACTGCTGAGTTGTCTAGAGGGGTAGACCCATAATGCTGTTAGGAACGGAGCTTCAACATTTTGACCCACTGATAGAGAAGATATAATCCTAAATCAGAATGGTGTGTGGCATGAATGAGAAACTACAGATGATGGTGCTCCCATGTAGATGGTACGGTTCATGGGTTTGAAAGTGACTGCCTGTGGAATCTTAGTGAGTTGCTCAATGTATGTTATTGATGGTACACACTGCTGCCACTGTGCATTGGAGATGGAGGGGAGTGAATTTTGAATGTGAGTAATCTGGTGCCAATTGAGCAGGCTGCTTTGTGCTGGACTGTGTCAAGCTTCTTGAGTCTTGAGGGTACACTCATCCAGTGGAGAGTATTTCATCACACTCCTGACTTGTGCCTTGTAGATGATGGACAGGCTTTGGGGAGTCAGGTAGTGAATTACACACCACAGAATTCCCATCCCTGTTTATGTGGCAGGTCCAGTTCAGTTTTTGTTTGATATTAACTCCCTTGACAATGACAGTGGAGGATTCAGAACGGTAATGCTATTGAATATCATTAGATTAGATTTTCTTTTGTGAGAGATGGTCATTGGCTGGCAGTTGTGTGGCATAAAAGTTACTTGCCACTCATCAGCCCAAACCTGAATGTTGTCCAGATTTTATTGCATCCGAACATGGACTGCTTCAGTATTTTGGGAGTTGCGAATGGTGCTGAACATTGTGCAATCATCGGTGAACATCCCCATTTCTGACCTAATCACGGAGGGAAGGTCATTGATGGAGCAGCTGAAGGTAATTGGGCCTAGGACACCACCCTGAGGATCTGGGCTCTTGTGGTACAATGGTAGTGTCCGTAACTCAGGCCAGAGGCCTGGGTTCAAGTCCCACCTACTCCAAAGATGTGTCATAACATATCTAGACAGGATGATTAAAATATCCACACAGAGGAACTCCTGCAGAGATATCCCGGAGCTGAAATGATTGACAGTTAACAAACACAACCATCTTCCTGTGTGCCAGGTATGACTTCAAGTAGCAGAGAGTTTTCTCCCTGATTCCTATCGACCCCAGTTTTGCTAGGGCTTCTTTATTTGGTTAAATAATGTCTGGATGTTCTGTACCCTTCGAATTCAGATGTTACTCCATGTTTAGATAAAGCTGTAGAAATCAGGAGCTCAGTGGGCTTAGGAGCAGGTTATTATTAAGTAAGCACTGTCAATGACCCTTTCCATAGGAAATCAGTTGCTTTATTATAACTCATAATGTGTTTTACAGTTTTAAATCAAAAACTAACTCATGGAGTCAATTAACCCATGACAAGCAACTGGTTACTGGATTACCATTATTAATGTGAAACCCGTCTGCCTTGGCATCTATCCCCTCCATTACCATCCCAACCCTGCTTCAGGAGGTGGCATATCAGCCCTGCCACTGGGTAGTCAATGCAAGGCAGGAGACTGGATTGTGGTTTCAGGAAATCTCCCTCCCTCGGGATCCCTTCCTCAAAGAGGAAGATTGACCCATTGTCAGCTAGTGCTTGCTGCCAACTGGATAATCAGGCTCTAATGTTGTTGCCTCATTGCTAGCATCAGCAGTCACACTGAAGCTGCATGTGAGAGTGTAATTTGGAGAGACCATGTATAAATGGGTACCTGTCGTTGACTCTGGAAACTCCCACCTCAAAAAAACAGCAAGGAAACTGAAATTCCTGGATTCAAGAAATAATATTTTTCCTAACCATTTCCCACTGGATGAACCAGACTGAATAATTTCCAGGGAGAAATTATACATCCCCGTCTTCAGATTCCATTCGACAAACACTTCTTTCAGGTTAGCTGCTCACTCAATGTTCTCAAGTTATTCCTCACTACCAGAAAGACAGAGAACCATTGATTCTACATCACTGAACCACTGGCATCCAGCCAAAACATGCATTACACAACAGGGCATTGGCTACAACACATGCTCAAGAAATGAAATAATTGGATAACTTAAATGAAGCTTTGAGATAACAGAGGGAGGTTTGTGCATTTTTTGAGCTCTGCTTCTTTTGTCTGGATTGTGGTTTCAGGAAATCTCCCTCCCTCGGGATCCCTTCCTCAAAGAGGAAGATTGACCCATTGTCAGCTAGTGCTTGCTGCCAACTGGATAATCAGGCTCTAATGTTGTTGCCTCATTGCCAGCATCAGCAGTCACACTGAAGCTGCATGTGAGAGTGTAATTTGGAGAGACCATGTATAAATGGGTACCTGTTGTTGGACAAGCCAGCACATTTACCCAGAGATTACTGAAATAAATTCTGGAAACTATTTCCTTTTCGTTTGCAAGTCCAACCCCAGTTCTCCAAAGCCCCTGTTGAGTAAAATGAAAATACAACTAAAATTTGGTCCACACAATAAAACGACTTCTTTTTTTAAACAAGACTAAATCTCAAAACCAGCTAATAATGTGGTACTGTGACCAGGAATGCAGCAGATTACACAAGTACATATTGACTCTAAATACTTACAGCCTTGCCTCTGGGTCCTGGAGGACCTGTTTCACCAGGCATTCCTCTGTCACCCTGGAAAAAGAAAAACAATTTTCATGTGATTTTTAAACAAAAAAATTGCTTGAGGGACATGAGCATCACTGTCTGGGCCAATATTTATTGTCCATCCCTAGCTGCCCTTACAAAGGTGATGGTAAGCTGCCTTTTTGAACCACCGCTGTAGGCACATGTAAGACATTGCACTTAGGAAGGGAATTCCAGGATTTTGACCCAGCGACAGTGAAGGAATGGCAATGTCAGGTCAATATGGCGGGTGTTCACTTGTATCTGTTGCCCTTGTCCTTCTAGATATTAGTCGTTGTGAGTTTGGAAGTGCTATCTAAAGGCTTTTGGCTAAGTTCTGCCATGCATCTTGTAAATGGTTCACACTGCTGCTACTGAGCGTCGGTGGTGGAGAGTAGATGTTTGTGGATGTGGTGCCAATCAGGCAGGCTGCTTTGTCCTGGATGGTGACAAGCTTCTTGAATGTTGTTAGAGCTGCACAGATCCAGGCAAGTGGGGAGTATTCCATCACACTCCTGACTCGTACCTTGCAGATCAAAAACAAAGTTGCTGGAAAAGCTCAGCAGGTCTGGCAGCAGCTGTGAAGAAAAAAAAAGAGTTAATGTTTCGGGTCCAGTGACCCTTCCTCAGTACCTTGCAGATGTTGGACATACTTTGGGGATTAGGGAGATGAGTTACTCGCTGCAGTATTTGCAGGAGTAACAAAATGGGGAAGAACAACCTTCAAGTAAACAGGTCATATGGCCAAGGAGAGTTCATTGTCAATTCAGAATAATTAATCAGAGCCTTCAGTATGGCAGGGAAATGCACGAAGGAATATTGGTTGCCTTGTTGAGTGCTGATGACGAGATATTAATTGCATTTGAATTTGTATAACGCTAAAGTTCTGTTGACTGAATTGAGGTCTTTTTACAGGATTTTTATCAAGAAAGAGATAAAGAATTTGACCCTTGATTACTGAGTCATAAATTAGGGAAGGAAGTATAGAAGTAATTTTGTCGGATCAAAGTCAACATCAAGGCTGTTAGAAAAAATTCAGTGATAGCTCACGACTGGAATGAACAGTTTATTTTATGAAGAGCAGGGATAGGCCATTTGGTCCATTGAGCATGCTCTATCATTCAATAATATTATGGCTGATTTGAATGTGGCCTCAACTCCTAATTCCTGCTGAACTCCCATCATGTTTGACTTTTTTATCATCAAGCAACTATTTTCTTCAACCTTAAAAATGTTCAATGATCTTGCCTCCCCCACTTTCTTGGGAAAAGTTCTAAACACTCATAACTGAGAGAAAAAGATTCCTCACCTCAGTCTCAAATGGGAGACCCCCTCTTCTTAGATTGTGTTTCCTAGTTCTAGTCACTCCTATAAAGTGAAATATCCTTTCAGAATCTATCCGTACACCTCGATGACAGAGTGAACTGATTGGGCTTATACCCATTGGAGAACGAAAATGGGCCTATCTTACTGAAATATGCAATATTCTGCGAAGCTTTGACAGGGTGGATAGCAAGAGGATGTTTCGAATTGTAAGAGACAAGAACTAGGGAATACTGTCTAAGGGTAAGGGGTCTCCATTTGAAGACTAGCGTGTGTAGAGTTTTATTCTCTCAGAGGGCTGTTAGTCTGTGGAATTCTCTTCTCTAGACAGCATAGGAGAATTGG